CTGCATCCAAAGCAATTTGCCACAAACAGCGTGTTGCTAAAAATGGTGCAGATGCAGTGCCATAAGTAACGGTACATAATTTATATGTCTGCATGTTTGAATAACCAGATTCTCTCCAAACAATTCTTTGTAAAGGTTGATCCTCATTATCTGCTAAAATCTGGCGGTACATTTTTTCTATGTCAGCAGAAAAAGCTATTTTATGTATACGAAAGTTGAGCGATATTGAAAATATATCTCGTTGTAGTGTTGCACCTACCCCTAAAACAGAGTTCAAAGAAACTGAATTTTTAGGTTTACATGAACCGTCAAATACTACACGAAGTTTAGTGGTAGAGCTACTCGGTTTAACAACAGCATGATGCGGTAGATAATATACTTGCTTATTTTCTTCAGTCTGAACAACTGGAACCATATGATTTAAAGTTTCGTATTCTTGCATGAACTCCTTGTATTGCCTACAAAGTTCTTTATCTAAATCAAATTTTCTTTCCATAGATAGAAGGCGAGAAATAGCCAAAGGTTTGGAGTCGCCTAACTCTTCAGCATTACTGAAAAATGGGCAGTCGGACAACAAATCTGCCATTTCCGTTTACTCGATAATTTTCTTTAAAATGCTTTTCACAAAACTCTTCTTCAATCGTTGATTTCTGATTTTGGAACGTTAATTCTTCCAACACTCCAAAACGCTTAAGTGTTGCATCGACGTTATCCTCAATATGTAAACTAATGCGATTAACACTAATGGGATGCGGAGTATTGCCTTCTGTTTTAATTCTGCCTGATACAACCCAACCAAAAATAGTATTTTGCGCAATTACATTTTTATAGCCAACAATCTGCCTGGCTGAAGCAGAGAAAAGAAATAGTCAGCTCCAATTATCATGTCTATTTGTTTGGGCGTACTGAAATTCGGATCTGCAAGATTAATTGAATTCAAATAATCAAGGTCCTTGCTATCAATCTTTACTGAAGGCAAATGCGAAGTTAATTTTTAAGAATATATGCTTACATTAAAACACCATTTTTTTTCAACTCAGATTTCGGAAACAATTTTACATTTACATAACCACGAGTCAAAGCTGCTTCAGAATCACCAAGTCCCTTTACGCAAATACGGGCATTTTGTCTGCGTATATTTAATTGTCGAATAAATGATTCACTGATGAAAGAAGCTTCACTTCACTTCCACTGTCAAAAAGAATGATACATTCGTGACCTTGACCAGCAGAATCGTAAATTATTACTGCCGCCGTTGGTAAAAATGAAGTACTCTGACCCTGAATAGAAAACTCGGAATATTATTTTGTTCGTCTGAATTAGAAATTTTGTTCATCAGATGGAGATGAATTTGACACAACTACGTTATTACTTTTAATATCTTTCTTGCAGTAAAGTATGGTGTTTTGCTTTGCAAATAGAACACACATTCTGCGATGAACAAAATTTTAATTGATGATTTCCGAAACAATTGAAGCATAATAAATTCTTGCGAATGATATTTTTCCTAGTCGTAATATCTGCACCTTTAAAATTTATAACACTTTGATAAAAATGAGAACCATTGCAATGCTGACATTTTAGAACAGAATTTTTATTATTATGTGAAACATTTCTTCGAAACAGAGCACTGATTTTTATGCGATACTCGCTTTTCAGTATTATGAGTGTTTAACATTTCAAGTGAAACACACCTTGAGTTTAAGAATTCCAAAAAACATTCTAAGGTAAGGAAATTCTTCTCATCACCATTTTTTTGTGACCATAAATGGCGCGTTTCCGGATCGACCTTTTTCTAACAAAAAATAAATTAGCCAAACATCTCTAGAACGAAGCCTTTTCGCCAAGATATTTTAATCCACGGATAACTTCATCAGATGTATCAGATAGTTTTCTTAGATTAACAGAATCAGCGCTAAGTAATTTTGGGTTGCTCAAGAAATGTTCTGACAAGCGACATTACAATTTAATTTTTTTCTATCATAACGATTCATCAAATTGTCCCAAAGCCTACCTCATCATATGTAGTTTCGGAAATCGGGATGTGCTTAATAATAGCAGCTGGTTCGTCTTTTAAAAGTCCTATCAAATATTGGAATTTCTGAATTTTCGCTAATGACTGATTGGTATGAACTGTCGCCATGTACAGATCTTTAAAATTAAGCCAATCAGTATATTTACCATTGAAACTCGGAATGTTTAAACGTGGAAGTTTAAAGCTAGCCTCAACTGCAGTGGGAATTGAAATCAAAACATTTCTGGCCGTTACGGATTCAATGGAGGATTAATACATTACTTTCGTTTCAAAATATTTAGCTTCGAATTCAGCAATTTCAGAAGCTTCTTCGGGTAAAGCAGCATCATATTGATCAAATTCTTTAAATATTTGTTCAATTCTTTCTAATCGTGCTTTTAATTCCGTTAAACTTAACTGATTACTGAAATTATTGTGAAGCCGCGTTAGGGTAGATTTTGTTCGTCCTCTTAATCTTTTAAGATCAGATTCACTTAATTCTGTCATTATTACCATGAATAATGATTAATAAGCACAAATAACTTCAACAAGATACTTAAGCAGCAAAAAATATTTCCGCTTATCTTTCTGACGTCACGCAGACGATTCGCAGTACCAGTACTTAAAAGTTCGTTAAACACAGTTCTAAAGCATATAATAACACATTAAATAGCATTAAATGCCTCACCTGGGGAACAAAATAGTTGCCTTGAACTAAAAAGCATCAGCTTTGTATAATAAACTTTATTGCTATTCTAAAACATAAAATTCTTTAAGAGAAATATTGCCTGCAGCGCATTGCGGCTAAGAACGCTATTCTACTGAAACATAAACATGAACAACTGTTGCCATTCACACAAACTTTATAGTAAAATAAAGCACGTTGCCAGTAACAAGATTATTGCAAAAATCATAACATAAAATTAAGCAGGTGAGGAAATAAAATATACAAAGAAAAAAGAAATGAAATATTAAATATGCATCCAACATTTTGTATCTTATTAATTTCACATTTCAACAACCTATGTATCATAATTGTATATAATTTTATCACTATTGCATTTATAGGTATTATGTCTTGAATTTTATATGTCTTGTAATTAATTGTCGGATTTGTTTCTGTGTCTTATTTGATGCAACAACGCAAACATGTCACACAGTATCCTCACGACTCCTGTTTCATGCACTTCTCATTGCGCTTGCCTCTCAATGGCTTTGCAACTCTTGGTCGCCCCCTGTAAACCACCTTTGACCTTACCAACTTGTCAAGAATTTTCAAAGTCATGGGCCCACTGGGCTTTACTTTCAGGAGCCGGACAAGTTGCGCACTTGAGCGATATTTCGGCTATATCTGCACAGACGAGACGAGACTTGATAGCACCACTAAGGTCACTGCCACACCTGAACAGAACACCATAGAAACGATGGCTGTACTCCTGTGAAGCAAGTTATTCTCCCCCTTTGCTAACTGTTCCTAGGGTATAAACAGAGCGAGTGATCAGTTCAGGCGGGTCAGGCCCATTAATCGCATAGGCAAAAGTGCAACCCATACATTAATACGTAACCGCCCCTCGCCCAGGATGAGGGAGGACCCCCGATGGGGCCTTTTGGTCAACAGAACGACTGTGCTAAATTCTCTCGTTTCATTTCTGAGTAGCAAAAAATAAATCAATACTGAGAATGAAAATCACTAGTCGCTAAGAAAATCTCTTCAACTGCAGAAAGAAAAATAATTTACGTCGAGGCGTTCTCAACAAAGGATTTTTTTTTTTTTTTTTTTTTACAATTATTTCCCTTAAAAATACTTTTCATGAAACAGAGCATTGACAAAGAGTTCTAATTGTCTTAAATATCTTAAATTCCTCTGAAATTCTTTCTTCTCTTTAAAGATAAGCTGGAAAATGATATCCTCACAGACAAGACATTAGGGAATCTTAACCTGCGGTTTTCATGAATGAAATTGAAAAGGAAGCTTGGAATGCCATCAAAAAGGAACAATACATATTCTGATTGTGTAGTCAGAGTTAAAGATGTGCTACAAAAACTCAAATCTGCAAGCTGCTAAGTAAAAAACTTCACTTTTTAAATCCACACACAAATTCACATATCCCTAAAAAAAAAAAAAAAAAAAAAAAAAAAAAAAAAAAAAACTTTAAGCAGTAAGCAAGAAACAATGTTAGTACTTCCACCAAGAAATGGGAAAATACTAGAACTAGAAAATACTAGAATACTTGAAATGCTAATAAGATTGCTGATTTCAACTTGAAATTCTATAGGATAGGCCTTCCATAACAGAAAAAACAACAATTGTAGCTTTATCAAAAGAAAGAAAAAGATTTATTCTCATATTTTTCTAACTCGAACAAATGTAGTTTAATGCATTTTATAAGCATAAAGTATTTTACATTCATATAAAGCATTTTCTACTGAAGTACATGTATCATCTACGTAGTCTTTTTTTTTTTTTTTTTAATTTTTTTATTTCTACATTTTCAGTTCAAAAGGCTAATTAATACATAAACCAATCATGAAATATTTAATAAACTACAATAAAACTGTTGATCAACAAACTAGTTAATTTTATACACCAAAAAGAAAATTCTAATACAAACTGTAATATAATTATATGATATGTGTCATGACGAAAATATTAAAATCATTTTCAAATTGAGTATCTCAAAAGAACTCAAAATTCAATGAAAAATTTTAAAGAGCTTTTCACAGACTTGAATTGTGTGGGCCTATTATTATAAGCTAAGTTGTTAATTTCTTAAGATTTCAAGAAAATGTTTGTTTTTGTAAGTTTTTATTTTTTTGGAATTACCGCAATATTAAAAGCAGAAAAAGTCTTGAAGCCTTTTTAAATAAGCACAACAATTATTTATAAAAATAACCTGTGCTTCTTAAAACCAATAGATTTTCTTAATTTGTATTTGGAAATAATAGATTTATTGTTAATAACCAAAATGATTTTCGGTATTTTCAGTGGAATCCAGACAGCCACCAATTTTATCTGCATTCCATCATGTCAGAGCATAAAAAAACTATTTCAGCAATAGCGTGGCATTTAAAAGATAAGGATATACTTGCAAGTAGCAGTACGGATTTCAAAATTTGCATTTGGCATGTTGCAAAACATAAATTGCTAGCATCATTAAACACTCCTCATGCTGCACCGACCTTGATGTCATGGTTCACTTCTGATGAAGATTGTGTTGCTTATACTGATGGAAAAGGTCCTATTTATTTATGGAAATACATGGAAAAAAATGGCCGAGATGGGCCAGTATCTCATCCGTTGAAAGAAATCTCAACAGTTTCTTCTAATATTACTCAAATGAGTTGGCATCCTTCTACTCCAGGAAGATTTGCCCTTGGACATGCTGATGGAACTATATCGTTATATATTCAAGGTAATTTATAATATGACATATATCATTTTACATAAATTTTTATTAAATAATACGTGTTAAAATTACGTGTACTATGCATTTTAATTACATGTTGTTCTAATGTTTTTATTATTTCAAATAACATTCTTCAGTGCATCAATTTTATACAAAGTCATCTACAGCACTGCAGTTCTGCCTTTTCTTTCAACTTCTGAAAACACATCTTTCATTCTACTCCTACTCTACCACAGCTTCGCTTTTTACAGCATTTCATTCATTCAAAACTGTAAATATGTTCATTACGTCTCTACTGGAAACATGTCAAACTCAATATCTCAAGCGTACCAAATAGTCTCAGGGTATAATAGTGCAGGCCTCAAGAGAAAGAATGTTATTTTACACTTAATGATATACTTAAAAAATGAGTAAATACATAAAATCCTACATAATACTGTAGGGCAGCGATTCTCAACCGGTAGTACGCGTACTGCTGGTGGTACGCAAAATAAAAATAGGCGGTACGCAAAGAGACAAAGTATTTTTAATTATTAAATTCAAAAATTAAGTACCTCAACATCCTGATTACGTTTTTTCTCTAACATTCGTAAATTAATGGGATCTGAGCTTTGTTCAGGACCAGTAGCAGCTTATATACTTCAGCAAAATAATTCGTTTTTATTTTCACGAATATTCTTTTAGCCATAGACATAACAAAATTTGTCATAAATGATGTTTTTGAAAGGAATAATAGAAATGGATGCCGTACTTAATTGGAAATAAAAAATAAGTTCTCATTAGAAAGATATTAGCATCTCATTAATACTTTCCACCATTTCCGGGCTCATATTGCTCTATTTTCAATTAGAATAATTTTTTACGTCGATTTGCTGTCTTTGCCACTACCCACATTTTCTTATGTTGCTTTTATTTGAAAAAAAAAAAAACCTACAGCAGTGGTTCTCAACCTTTTTCACTAGCGTGTACCATCTAAACAAAAATTGAAAATTTTTAGTAGCACCACAACATTTTACAAGAATTATTTTTCAGTTTTTCAATAGAAATATTTTTAAAAATGTGTATTTTGCCATTTGCACAATCTGTTGGCTATTTGTATTAAATATGCACACATAAAAAATACAACGGCAAGTATTTTGTCTTCTTACTTTGTGTTTCTTACTTTTCTATGCAATTTGAGAATATCGTCGTTTTGCCTTTGAAGAACTCGTAATATATTGTGCATTTAAATTGTGAAAAAACATTGAAACAAACCTAGGTTTTCAAAATGGAAAAATGGCTAGGATTGACTAAACGTAAAAGAGATGATTCACAGGTAATGGATCCATGACAATCTACTAGCACTAACAATATTGAAAAGGAAAGAAAAATTGTTTACAGAAAATATAATGAAAGTTAGTTATTATTTGGGTTTACTTGTAATGGAGATGAAATGGACTCTCTACATCAATGTGTTATTTGCGGTGAACTCGTAGAGTCATTAGGTTATTTCAAAGCAGAAGAGGCGAAAAATAAGCGATGCCTTCGCCGAGACTCGAACCACGGATCTCTCGAATATGCGTCGAGCTTGCTGACCGCTATACTACGAAGGTATGCTAAGAAGGTGAGAGAAATACCTTATAAACTATTACCCAATCAATGTATGAAACCATCGTTTCTTAAAAGACATCTTGAATCTAATGTCAGTTTAAAGGATAAATCTGAAGAATATTTTAAGAGGAAATTATGAATTCAAAATAGTAAATAAGTAATGACAAGTTTTGTTACTTCAAGTTAAAAAGTTTAGAAAGCTAGTTACCTAGTATGCCTCAGAATTGCTAAGATTGGAAATACTCACACTATTGGAGAAAACCTTTATATTACCAGCAGAGAAAACCTTTATATTACAAGCAGCTAAAGATACCGTTTTAACACACTCAAAGAAAAAGCGGCTAATGAGCTTAATGATATTTCCAAAGTAATTGATAGTTTTATGTCTGAGAATGATATTCCTTGGAATAAGTGCATTGCCGTATTCAGTGACGGAGCTCGGGCTTTGAGAGGCAAACATTCCGGTTTTATTTCTCGAATAAACAAAGTCGCACTTGAAACTAAATTTACTCCCTGCTCCATTTAACGTGAAGCTTTAGTATCTAACACAATTCCCGAACACCTAAAAATCGTTTTGAATCAAGCTTCTAAAAATTGTTAATTTTATTAAAAGCCGAGCTTTAAATTCAAGAATATTTACAATTTCATGTTAAGAGATGGGTAGTAAATATGAAACACTTTTGCTATATTCCGAAGTAATGTGGTTATCTAGAGGCAAAGTTTTAAATAGTCTTTTTGAACTTCGATCATAAATTCAAATTTTCCTCTGTAAATGAAAATTTGAATTGAAAAATTGTTTATTTAGTGAATTATGGTTTGAGCGTTTAGCATATTTAGCTGATATATTTGGAAAGTTAAATGAATTATTTAATTCATTATTATTATTTTATTCATAAATTAACACTTTGTCCATGTAATCATTATAAGATTACATGGACAAAGTGTTAATTTGTTTACCATTAGAGATAAAATAAATGCAATGATTAAAAAAATCTCGAGCTAATAATCAAAGAATTAGATAATAATATTTTAAGCTTTTTAAAACTTTTAGAAAGTTTTCTAACCGAAACAAATTTTTAAATAAAAGAAGAATCAGCATCCGACACTAAAAATCGTTGTTTTTCATTGATAGATAATTTGAACATGTATTTTCCCGAGGATTATGAAAAAGAAATTTGGATTAGAAAAACATTTGTTCAAATGCACCTAAAATTGTATCGCGTAAAGAAAAGAACAATTGATAGATATTTCCTGTGCTCAAACTCTAACTGAAGATTTCAAAAATAACGCATTTCTTAACCTTTGGCTGAACCGAAAAAAAAAATTTTAAGGCATTTCAAATAAAGCTATTAAATTTTCATTGCATTTTTGCACAATTTGTTTGTGTGAACAAGGATAATCTTCCATGTTATATTTGAAAAATAAATACAGAATAAAATTTAAAATGGATCCTAATTGACGATTAAAGCTAAGTGAAATAAGATCAGACATAACGAAACTTATCAATCTTAAGCAGGCCCAAATTCCACACTAAATTTTAGAATTAAAGTGTTATAACTTAAATTTTGGTAAATAAAACGATCACCAATTCTTAATCTAATATTTTTATGTGTGCATATTTAATACAAATAACCAGCAAGTTGTGCAAATGGCAAAATATACCTTCTTTTAATATTTCTATTGAGAAACTCAAAAATAATCCTTGTAAAATGTTGTGGTGGTACTAAAGTTTTTCAATTTTTGTTTCGATGGTACGTGCTAGTGAAAAGGTTGAGAACCACTGCTGTATTATACATATAAAAGGAATATAAGAAATTCTGGGTAGTGGATAGATACCCATTGTTTCATTTCCGATCCCTGCTATGTTTTTCTTGAAAACAGATTTCGAATATCTGGAGATATGCTACTAGCACTAGTGATTTTCGGAACAAAGGTTCGTTAATCCAGATTTCACTGGGGACATGTTGCTTTTCATAAGTGAGAAATGTTGTTCACATTGATACGTGTTACCGAACATAAAAATCCCATACGATGCAATTTTTCGGCTTCCGATAACTATTTATAAAATTCGAGGATAACCGCCCTACAGATTTCTTTTTTCTTCAGAGCCGAACTGAATTTATGCTAATTCCATCGTTTATATGTGTGAGGAATTTTTCCTCTCTCTTGCCCTATGCCTTCGTAATGTAATTGGAAAGCATACCCAGCTAACAATTGAAAGGTTTGGAGCTCAAAACACGACAAGGGCATTGCTTATTTTTCATACTTTGTCATCTACAATAACCTTAATGACTGCAATTGGCGAGAACTTTCTCACTATCGGTTGAGAAAATATCTTTGTTTAAGAAACCGTTTCAAGAATCCTGTTTAGCAACCAGGGTTACGTTTCAATATTCGGTAAAACTCCAATTTTAATAATATATATTATAATTATACAATTTTAGTTACTTTCTCAGGGTGAATCGATAGTCGCTGAGAAAGGGGTCAAGGGCGATATACGGGCGGCAGCGACTTTGACATGCCTGCTCTACACAATCTTCTCTGCTTTCATGTTTGACGTTATACCAATTAGATTGAGTTTCAGTGAGTTATGCAGGCAGACTTTGTTTATTTTTTTATTTAGTCTTCTTTCTTGTTTTACCTTCAATAACTCAGATAGCATTTTTTAAGAAGAAAAAATAGAATAGTTTAAACTTGTTTTTAGTTTATCCACCCTCTAATGGAAAGGGGAATGAAATACAAAATTAATAATGAAAACATAGAAAAATGCAAAGAAAATGAATTTAATTAAAAGGACTGGGCACATACTCGCTTGTTGCTTTTCTTCTCTATACTGTTTTTCTTGTAATGAAGTCATTTACCAAGGTTGTGTCTAGTTCTTTCCGAGATATTTATTACAAAGTTTAATTGTTATTTCACATATCTTATTTAAAATACCTTATTTTCTTTATCCTTCCAATATACCTTCGTGGTATAACGATAACACACTAGGCGTGTATTCGGGTTCGAGTCCTGACGAGGACACTGCACCTTTTTCACGTCTCCTGCTTCAAAAAAACCTAATGGTGCTACAGTGGCGCCCGAACGAAAAGGTGGTGGACGATAATTTGTCCCGACCAGGAGGTTTTTCGTTCTTTTCCTCGTGCGTGAAGTTTGGATCTGTGCAGCTCCGCTTTCTGGAATAATTACAGCGGAAGTAATCAACTTGGAAGCTAAATGTTATTGCATTGGATAGCCTAAGTCATCCTGCATACGCAGATACCAGTTCGAAGTTTCTACATGCTTCTGGTTGATTAATTATGAGGAAATTAAATTATTAAATACGAGAGTTCCATTGTTATCGTATACGGCAGTTTTAGAACGACCATCGAGCAGCCGCCACCGCCCGCCGCGACAAGTGTCTTACATCGTTGGAA